TATCGTAGATTGGATGATAAATGGTGCTGCCAGGTCTTGGGACAACTATTCTATTCAAGGCCGTTTATTGGTTAACTCTTCGAAAAACTTGGCATCTATCTCGGCGGGGCGTTTCTTTCTTCTTTTTTCAGCGCCTAAATCACCCGATTGTTGTTTAACGACCGAGTCGGCCACAACAGTTTCTCGCTCTGCTTCCTCAACAGCAACAGACGGTGGGGGTACAGATCTAGCGCTTTTGGCCCTCCTTCGGGCTGCCATTTTTTCTGCACTTTTCCTTCTAGCCATTTGTGCGAGCGATTTTCCATCCATGTTCTCAGGATCTGTGCCAGTTAAGTCTCCCAGATCGGTGAAAATGTCATCTTCTAAAGAAGATATTTCAATTCAACCTGAGGTAGATGGGAGGTCAAAGACAACTTCTTCAAAGGCCAAATTAAGAGCTATGTCAACTTCCTCCCCTAAGCGACCCTCAGCCCCATCTGAGTTAGACTAACTCTGCTGCTCAGCGACCCGATCGCTGACTTCACTGCCTGGGTTTGAATCTAAACCTTCAAGGCCGATATCCCTAAGGCTCTTGAAGTTTGGGAAGAAGAGTGTTGTGAGATGCTGTTCACCCCTTGGAATTAGGATGTGATCAACAGTCAAAAAATTTGAATATGTTGGGTTGTATCGTAGTTGCACATGGGCGGTCCGCCCTTGCTTTTGAAGGTTTAGATGGCCGAAGAATTTAAGTGCGGCTTTGACTTGCTCAAGCACAGCGTCGTCGGTCGAAGTGAGTGCTTTTTTTCAGATCGTTACCTGCACAAACGAAAAGATAAGTACATGGAATCGAAGCCGAATTGACCTACAGAAACGCACAAACGAAAGAGAAATGGGTCTGTACAGCCACCTGTCTTGCCTTTTTGTCTAGGCATAAGGTCCAAGCGATCTTTGCCTTCGCCGAATTCCCAGTTGCCTTGGACAACGACCATGACGTCGTCGACACGCTTACCAAAGCTGGCAAGCATAGTCACCAAATGGTGATCTGTGTCCTTGGCCCTGTGAAAGTAGCTTCCCTATTGACCAGAAGATTTTGCCAAGGCATAACAGTGCCGAATAGCAGGGATTCCTAGGTTAAGTCTAAGTCTGCGATTTAATTCTATTACGCTCATTATAGTTTGGTAAAAATTTACATTCGATTGTGAAGAAAGTAGACCCCAATAGTGAAGAATGGCTCTAAAAAATGAATGAAAGGGAAAACGGACTCCACCCTCAGCGATTAACGGGAGGGGAAAAATGATCATACTCACATTAGTTCTCTCCATGTCAACTACACTCTCCACCACGAGTGACAAATGGATGTCATCTGGAATTGAGAAATGGTGATGAAAGGCGGAAACACGGTCTGCAGAAAGGAGAGCTTTCAAGTGTTTCGCCATTCAAAACGGAATAGAAAATATGCTAACTAAAAACGAACAAGAAAAAGGGAGCTGGAATGAGGAAGATATACAAAGTGGAGAAGAACTTATAGGTCAGAGAAAGAAGGATAGTGGGGAGCAGGCAAAAATCGTAGAGGTCTTGAAGAAGGAATGATACTGTGAGACAACCTGAAAGCCTTGCACATTCAAAAAATATTCGAAGGGATAGTGCGGTTTCAAATCACATTAAATGAGCAACATGTATGAAGGGGTGAGATGTTTTAATGATTTTTAAATCATGTTCGTTCGGACGCTTCAGTATTGGAGGAAGTGCGAGCGCCGTATTTTTGACTTTCGATATGCAAAACCAAACATGCCGACTAACTGGTATTAGTCGGATGTTCAGGGGCAATTGTGGAGGCCAAATTTAATCAATAAGAAAGAAAGGCTGAGCAGTCCGGTTGAGGCATTACGCCGAAGACAATTCGGCCCTACGCAAAGGCCTGTGAAGCCGAGTATACGAATCGGCCATACAAGGAGCCGAACGGGAGCTAACACACTCAACTAGAAGGCCAACTAGATAATTATATGCAAGGTCAAGATTGGGCCCGGCCTTGGGCCTAGGTGTAATATAAAAAGAGAGGAACGTTAGCCAAAAAGAGGTATGTAAAAAAAGAAAGAGATAACTTGTAAAAAAGTAAGATTTGAAAGAATACTGATTGGCTCGTCGGAGTGCTAATTCCGGCACCCCCAACTGGAGTGTTCATTCATTTTTTAGATAGCAACCAGAGAATCGAGAGCGTCTATATGGATCAAAGAGTATTTCCAAACCACCTTTTCTACAGTCATACCTGGATAAGAGTTTGGCTTGAGCTTTTGGTGGCTCTGCATGACAAAATCCTAGTAGGGCTTTAATTTCTCTTAGTAGATTTCTCCTAAGAATCACATTCCCAAAAGATAATGCATATCCTTTGACACTCTTCTCACTGCAAGCCAAGTGTGATGGCTCAACTCTTTGCTCAGTCAACGCAATTGACCGAGCTAATTTCACTCTGTTCCCTACCAATAATATCGAACAACACGCCTTGCTGTCCTATGTTTATGCGGCGCACTACTATGCTATCACAGCTTGGCCCATCATGCAGCTCAGTCAGAACCTCATTCCTAATTCCATTCGACCGTCCTCTACTATAGCTCGATTAATGCTTTGACCGCCACTAGTTGAGCTTTTATTAATCCGATCAACTGTCTTTGACCAATCTATCTTTTGTTTAGCCTAACACCAAGTTTGTTTTACTCTTAGCTCGGCCCAAATTACACACTCTCTTTTACTTTGTTTGTCCCAATTTAGTTACATAAATTATCCTCACGTTAACTTAGACTTTAATTTTATATTTATTAAATATGTAACAGATATCTTTAATTAAAAATATGCAAAAGAAAGATGTTCAAAATCCATGAGGGTGTCATGATTCTTCTTGACTTTTTTCTTAATTTTTTTATTACGTTTGGTTTTTTAGCTTGAGAAATTTTTTATTACATAGTTGGCAGATAACGAGAGACTCGTCAAACGAAAATTTCTTGATTGATTTTCGCACGCCACGGCCACGTGATACTTTCTTTAAATTACAAACTATTATATTATTCATATTTAACATAAAATTTTGGTCGTATTTGTTTAGCATGTTAAGGAGTCGGATTGGATTAGATTGGATTAATATGAATGTGAGTTCTACCCACACCTTATTTGGTGATGATTTGAGAGGAGATATTAATAGTGTGCCGGGTTTAGTAATCCCCTTCAAGAGGGGGAATGGGAATTAGCTTGGCTAGATTTTAGGTATGATTAGAAAAATAGTAAATGAATTGAGTCTATTTTATATTAAAAATTTATTTTTAGGTATGATTAGAAAAATAGTAAATGAATTGAGTCTATTTTATATTAAAAATTTATTTTTTTTATTTTTATTTTTTTATCAAGTACACTGGTTTGTTGTAATATTTGTTTTAGTTTTTTTTAATATAAAAATATTTTTTCTATTTATTTTATATAAAAATAATTTAATAATCCCATCAGTAACCTTCTCCTACACTGTTATCAAATCAAACACATTTTTCTTTAATTCCCCCACTAACAATCTCTACATTAGGAATCTCTTAACTAACTATTCTCTCACAAACAATCTCATCAAACTTAGTTTCATTCTATTTATCAATTATAGTGCATGTGGCGCTACTCTTGGACAATCGATAAGAACATACCGATTAAAATAGTCAAATTTTTAGTTAAATTTTAACAAAAAAATTATTTATTTATTATTTATTTTAGCTAACTATTTTTTCAAATATATTCTCCAACAAACTCTTTATTATTTTATTTAATTTGTTGAGTTCTCTTTTCCTAACTACACATAATTAATGGTTTGATATTCAATTAAAATAATTAACCAATAATTAAGGGGTCATTTTGGAAGCAAATAAAAAGTTAGCTTCTAACTTTTAACTCATTTTGAGTTACATCACTTTCTACATTTTTTACACACAAAAAGATCAAAAAGATTAAAAAAATCAAAAAAATTCAAAAATCAATTTTTAACCTACTTCCCAAATCACCTATAAGTTTGATGAAGTGTGTTTTTATAATTTTGTACTATAAAGTAATAAAAAAAAGCACTAACACCAACTTCAATGTTCTATCAAATTTAAATGCGATGGAAAAGCTTATTTTTGTTGTTCTAACCATTCATCAAATAGATCATAAAATCTAAAATTATTCAAATCTTTCATCAATCTGAAAACGGATGTACTTTTCATCAAACCACTATTTATTATTAAATTTTTACCACTGAATGTCCACCTTAACACAAAAAATTATAAAAAATTTATATTGACCGATCAATCGGACAAATATCTGCCCAATCAACTAATCAACTAATGATTTGATCAAGCTCTACTAAAATACTTGATATTAATTTTTTTTTAATACTCAAATAATGAAATAAATGACGAACCATTAGAAATGCCAATGTACTTGCTAATAATACTCTAAGGCCGGTTTGTTTCCAGATGTATAATGGAAGAGATTCATAATGAGAGGATTAATACTGAGGGAATTAAGTAAAATTATATTTGTTTTGATAATAGTTATTAGTTTAAAGATTGTTAAATTATTTTTATATAAAATAAATATAAAATAATAAAATAAATATAAAAATACAAAAACATTAAACATTATTGTTTTAAAAAAATGCCCAACATGTAAAAAATTTAAAAAAATAAAAAATTTCAGAAAAAAATAAAACAAATAAAATAATAATTTTTACTTAACAAAAAAATAAACATTAATGTTCAAAAAAAAAATATTCAACATGTAAAAAATAAAATTTAAAAAAAAAAAAGTTAAAAAATTTCTAATTCGATTGACTATTTTTCTAATACAAAATCTTGGAGGCCTATCCAAATCTCCTTGAATCATCTCCCCAAAGAGATTCATAATTCAAAATTCACTATCAATCTCTTCTCTATCTCTCAAAATAAATACAATATTAATAGTTCCCATTTTACCACCGATGTTAATTCCCATCTAACTCTCTAAACAAACGGCCCTACCTTCTCCTCGTCCAACAGACGTTGTGGTCTTCAATCATCATACCGAATGAGGTAAGCCTCACTCTATTTGAGTACTGCACTGCTCTTGCTGTACCGCCACAACAAAGGAAGTTCAGCCTATTTCATCTCCCACTTCAACAATCCCTCCTCCATCAACATAGCTGTACGTACCACTCTCCTGTTCATGCCCGTTTGAAGCTTGCTCTCATCTCTCTCTCTCTCTCTCTCTCAAAGATGGCTGACCGGAAGCCTCAGAACAATGGCTTTCCCGGCAAAACCCAAACACATATTCCAACTTTAGATCCACCGCAGAAACCAAAACGAAACAAGTATGCTTTTGCCTGTGCCATTTTAGCTTCCATGACTTCCATCTTACTTGGTTATGGTAAGTTTTATAATCCAAACATACTCTAATTGCTTTTTCTTTTTCTTTTTTTTCGGGAAAATTATGGGATGAAAGCTAAAGAAATTTACGGGTGATGATGATGTGCAGATTTTGGGGTGATGAGTGGAGCAGGACTCTTCATCAAGGATGACCTCAAAATCTCCGACGTCCAGCTGGAAGTACTAATGGGCGTCATCAACCTCTACTCCCTCCTCGGCTCCGCCGCCGCCGGCAGAACGTCCGATTGGGTGGGCCGTCGGTACACCATCGTCATCGCCGCCGCGATATTCTTCGTCGGTGCCATCCTGATGGGCTTCGCCACCAACTACGCCTTCCTCATGGTGGGCCGCTTCGTTGCCGGCATCGGCGTCGGCTACGCCCTCTTGATCGCCCCCGTCTACACCGCCGAAGTCTCCCCCGCCGCCTCCCGCGGCTTCCTCACCTCTTTCCCCGAAGTCTTCATCAACGCCGGTACTATTCTATTATGTCCTCTCTCTCTCTCTCTCATGCACAATAGAGTGCCCTTCCAGATTCCTCCGGTGGGTGGTGCTCCGGCTGGGCCCTCTATTCCTGCTCGAGGAGGGCGTGGAGACACTGCACGTCCCCGTACCAGGGGAGGGCGTACTCATGTCGGGAGTAGTTCTCGGGCACCGACCCCTGATGATGATGATGATGACGATGACGAGTCCGAGGCAGAGGCAGAGTCGGAGGCGGAGTCATCGGAGGAGGAGACCGGAGGCAGTTCTAGCTCGGGCTCTGATGATGATGCTGATGATGCTCCTAGACCTTCGTCCAGGAAGAGGACTAGGACAGACTGATAGCCCTCGGAGCCGCTTGACACGAATACAGATTTTTGTTGTTTTTCTTCTTTCTTGTACTTTTTCTTTTTGTTGGTAGTTAGGATACTTTGTACTGCCGCATACAGATTTTTGTCTCCAAAACTTGTGTATTTGAAAAGATGATGAAATGAAACAGGCCTTTTATCTAAAAAAAAAAAAAAGGTGTTTATATCCGTATATCTTTACATTTCATACTTTGCATTGCATCACCCCATGTTACACCTCAATGTAAATGAAATTGATTGGTTGTCTAAAAATTGAACACTTGCACTGTAATAATCAGATAACTAAACAGCCACCAGCAAAATAACCCAAGCAACCCACTGCCTGATTCTGGACACACAGCCCTTAACACAGCACTTGGTTCGTTTTGCACACAGCCAACTTTAAACAAAACAGCCCAATCTGACAAGACGGCCTACGGAGGTGAAGCCAGCTGGAGTTGAAACACAATCAAATATAGAGAATGGCACAGCATTCTGAGTATAAACGATTTTTGAACTTAAATAAGGGTTTTTCAAACCGGGGCATCGAGCCTACAACTGAACACAGCAGAGAAAGACTCAAACAAAAGGGTATACGACCTAAACCCAACGAGACACGCTCGGAAGAAACCTAAAACAAAGGTTGAGGTAAACAAAACAAAAGACACGACATACAGACGTGTTAACGAAGACGGGGGACCTCAGATCACAAGGAGCCAGTTTATCTGGGTATTGTTTCCCACCCTTTTCTCATTCGTGATTCTCACATTACTCTGGCACTCAAGCTCGGTTTTTCTCTCAAAACCCTTTGGCTCGCTTTTTCTCTCAACTTACACCTCTCTATTCTTTATTCTCTCATTTTCCATCCCTCCCCAAGGTGATTAATGAATGAATAGGAAGTTGCGGGTTCATGCCCAATGCTGTTAGCACATAACTATTTCTTCTGGTGGGTAAAGTGCCCTTCTAGCAAGTATGTTGACGACGGGGGGGAGACAGAACGCCTGGCTCAACTGTGCCCCTAGTTCATCATTTTAACCATTCTTTGTTTTTGCTTTCTACTAAAACAGTTTTGATCAAAATGAGATTCGGATTAACGTACTTGTTCGACTCTTGATTTGAAAACCATGCGAGTCAGGCTGTAAGCACTGAAAAATTTCCTTTTTGTGTCCAAGAAAATGGTCCAGTTTTGGAAAATGGAACAGTTTTCGAGAAAATAGTCAACCTTAGTAAAAATTTTCAAAAACTTTTCTACGAACAGTCAATGCTCAACGAGCATGGAACTTACTCTTTGAGATGCGCAGCCTCGGATCGGAGGCAATGGAAAATTGCCCCTGGCTTAAAGGGGGTGGATGGCAACGGAAAGTTGCCCCTAGTTTGAATGGCGACTCGCGACGACTCGTGGCAACGGAAAGTTGCCCCTCGTTTGGATGGTGCCGCAGCAGTCCGCAAACAGTCTTCATTGGTGGTGGTCGAACTCTTGGACACAGAGATGACGAAGACGGTTATAACAAATATATGGACACAGTCGCCATGGAAGCGTTGGCGACTGGACTTTGGGATGAAATCGAAACCATTGTATGGACTGAGACACTATGAAAGCGTTGGGGGCTGGACTTCAGAATGAAGTTGCCTACGTATCCCAAACATGGGAATCAAGCCTTACGTAGTCCCGGTTAAGGTACACTCGGGTATTTTAACCTTCACTTTTCAGGCTCTAACTTTTGCCAAGGCGCCCCATGCGGGTTTTCGACCTTGCGAGCTTCTTTTTATTTTCCTTTTTCTTTTTCAATTTTTTCATTCTTTTTTCTTTCGCATTTTTTTTTCTTTTTTGCTTTTCTTTTCTTTTCATTTTTGTATTTTTTGCTATTTTGTATTTTTCTCTTGCTCTAACTTTTGCCTGGGTCGCCCTTCTGGGTTTTCGGCCCAGCGAGCCTCTCAAAGGGTAAAAGTGTAACAAGTCCATGCCAAATGGTTTCTGAAGTTGAAGCCTCTCTATATCTAGGAGAACGGTTGTTGCAATGATTTGTAGGAGAATCCGTCATGGATGTCCCACGAGCTTCTTCTGATGAGATCTAATCTTTTTTATTCGGCTTTGATGCCTCTTGCTCGAGGGCTGCTTCAGAACTGGCCACACGGGCCTCCTCCGACAGTCGACCGTTGAATGTTTCGGATGAGTTCATGGTTCAAAACAAACAGGTCGAATCTTGAGGCTGAGAGCGATCCTAGGCTGCACAATCTCAAGAGCGATTCCACACAGGTCTTCGCAGGGCCGCGTAAAACATTTGTTTTTGAAAGTTTTTAAGAAAACGACAAATTGCTCGCGCCGAAGATAGTATGGAACCAACCTGGATCAAGCCAGGATCCTTCTCAGTACTCACGCCGACAAGCATGGTTTCATTCATTAAGGGCTAAACATGCCTCTCTTTCTCTCAATTTGATCAAAGTTTTGCAAAACCCGAGGAATTCCTTCCTCTTTGTTTTTATCACCGCAGCGTTCAAAAGGGGTTTTTTGAAAAACTTAGGTTAATGCAATGAGTTTGGCGCGCAGGAGGACAGGCGAGATGTACTGTCAGCCCAATCGAATTCTCTGGCACAACTAACTTATACTGAAAGCAAGCATGAAAGTGAGATAGCAACAGCTGTTTCATTCAGATTTGTTGGTATAACTGGCCCCTCGGCAGAAACAGACTCAAAAACAAAAACGGGTAATTACAAGACAAAATGATGTTCGAGGCAACAACCCCGGAATCACCTGGTATTCTATACAAAGGGGACTGACTCGCTACAACAAGACAGACCCTTAAGCAAAAAGACTGACTCAAGACAAAGAGACTGACTCGAAACAAAAGACTGACTCGATACCCAAGCCAGAATTTACAAAGCTAGCATTCACAGATGCTCAAAAATGCGTGCCAGACACCACATCCAAAATATACCAAATGCCGCCCGCAGGTGGTTCACTTTCTGATTACATACTTGCAGTATCTGTGTCCTCAAAATCCAATAACGGGGTGGTAACGGACTTGGCTGAGGTGGGCGGGAGGATAACCTCATTGTCAATCAAATCTTGCACCTCATGACGGAGGCGGAAACAATTGTCGGTGGCATGGCCTGTCTGCTGGTGGTACGCGGAGTACTGAGCAGCATCGTGCGTAGCAGGGAGATTCTTCGGGAGAGGCCGAGGCTCCAAGGGTTTAAGGCGTCCCCTCTCGGCAAGGATCTGAAGTACCTTAGATAGAGGCATGTAGAGAGCATGAAAGGTCCTGCGCCCTCGGGGCAGGTACTTTAAAGTCTGAGCGTTCTTACTAGCCGCACAAGCAAAAGGGTCGACAGGCGCTGCCTTGGCTTTCTGATCTTTCCCAGGTGCAGGGGCGGGAACAGGAGAAACTGTTCTGGCATGACGGGGCCTGTCCTGATTTTCCGACTAACTTGAACTACCCTCAAGTGGAGTGGGGAAAGCATCCTCCACAGTTTTTGCCACAACTGCGGATATCTGTTGCTTGTTCATCCCCCCGGCTTTCAAAGCCTCGACTGCCCACAGCAGTTGTTCAATGGGATCGGCATCTGCCTTCATTTTGTCTTTTCCTCTGGCCTCAGCCTGATCGAGGGTTTGGGTTGATGTTAATATGTCATTGCCATAGCTGGAGGCCATCTCCGGTTGGCTAAGTTCGATCACAATTCGCCCCAACAGCGGGGGCTCCTGGGGTACAAAACTCCCGGCATATGGTGCGGCTGGAGGTGAAGCTGACATTCCATAGGCGAGATTCGCCACAGACCTCTGGAGATCACCTATCATCCCCATTAGTTCAAATGCAGTAGGCTCGCGAGCCTGGTATAGCTGGGGGGCCTAGACCGGGTGCACAACAGGCGACCTGGGTGGATGTGGCATATCAATATTGGTCTCACCTTGCAGAGTGATCCCTTGCTCTAATGCAGCCGTCATAACCACGATCTCTGCTGAATTCTGCGTCATCATAAGTCCTGCCTTAGCAAGGGGGAGCACTAGCTATCCTGTACCAGCTGTCCGAACTGAAAGAGACAACAAGCAGCATTTCAACCCAAATAGATCAAACACGGGCCTAGCCGAACAACTGCACTCTACTACTGATCACTGTTCCCCAAAAATCACTGTCCCCAAAAACTGAACCTGATACCCGCAGATAACTGATTCTCATAACTGACACTGATGTCCTCAGGTCTGATACTCAAACTTGCAAACTGATATGTACTTTCCCTGTAGAGATACACTCTAAAAGTACATAGCAAGTAAAGAGAGCCAAAACACCCCTATGTTGGGGTAGGGTTTCCCTGTCCTATTTTGGCAGGAGCTAGGATTTCACTACGCACGCAGCAGTTTTCAAACAACCTAACATCGGGTAAGCAGCCTGTCCTAACTTGGAATGGTCACTATGGGTCCGAATATGCACTAGGTCGAATAGTCGAAAAGGGTGCCCCGGTAAAACCGGGGTTTGTGTTCCCATACTGTCAGAGCCCATAACCGGTCAGCCTTATGGTCATGCCTTGACAAGACAAGCCTCCGGCAAACCGTTCAGGAATGGCAGATGGCAAACACGGTGTCCTAAGCGCACCAATGCAAATGCAATGCAAAGAAACAAACAAGCGTAGTCAAAAACAGATATCAAGAGTTCGAGTCAAGTTCTCTAACTCCCCAGCAGAGTCGCCAGAAACTGTAGAGGGGCCCTCCCAGCTTACTTA